TGTTTAATGTTAGTAAGGGAGGAGCTCATGTCGCCCTTGGTGGGCAGCTTCCTCCATGCTCTAGTGCCTGCTGTCTGAACTTGCGCAAAAAGACCTGCATCATATTGCATTTGGACATCGCTATTAGCATAATTTCCTTCTCCTATCAGCATATCCAAATTCCATCCATTACCAACCTGTGCATTGCGTTTAGCAATGTCCCTGCAGTTCTCTACATATTCTGATTTCCATAGGAGATAGTCTCCTCCAGCAAGTGTCGCTCGGGCTAACTTCTGCCAATCCCCAGGCGTAAGCCAATTCTTGGCTACTGATTCTAAAATTGCCATAGTATACGGCGCTGTGGCTCCGTATTGTGCTACAGCGGTCTTTAACTCCTTTATTAATTTAAAATCAAACCCTCTATGGTGGCGCCAAGGCTGTCCTTGTGCGTCCACTGTTTCTGTTACTGGGAAAGCCTCTATATCATCTAGCTCCTGTGCAAGTTGCAAGTGGGGAGGGATCTTTGGGACGGCTCCCCTCATGGGTGGTTTTTGATTCCCAAGGGTTTCTGGTTTTACTTCACTCTCCCTTTTAGATTTTCCTATTTTTAGTCCTTCTAATTGGGCTATGAGATCTTGGTGCTCTTTTTCCAGTTTTATTTGTTCTTTGAGGTGTTCAATTTTGTCTCTAAGTTCTTTTCTAGGGTCAAGAACTGGACATGCCAGCGGGGGAGCACTGGGATTATTATTATAAGGCGGAGGACGTTGAGAAACAGGCGGATAATCAGAGTTACAATATCTGGCAGCTTTATCCGCCAATTCATCCCAATTAACCTCCCCTCTGTCAGGAACAGTCTCCAAATATACTGATTGGTCGGGATAAATTTTTGTCTTGGATTTGATTATTTCCTCTGGGGCAACACTAGTTTTTGTTCTTTTGATTTCTCCACCCTCTCTTTCTGTTAGTTTTTCTTGTCTCCCCGTATGAGAGCTTTTAGGCATAATTTTATTCCAAGTGGGCTCGGTTTCTTCTTCCTCATTATCACTATCGAATGACATGAAGTCCTCACATTCTTTACTTTCATTTTCATTCCCCTTTTTTTCTTTCTGTAATATACCCTCGCCATTTTCTACTACATTGGCAACGAGAGGATCAGAATGTCTCTGAGATAAAACCTCATCTATTAAATACCAATAAGAAAAAGCAGTTACCGGGACCTTCTCGGGTCCATAAGTCTTATAATAATCTCTAAGAGCGTCACCAACTATTTTCCACTGTTTTTGATCTATAGATCCCTCTGTAGGAAACCAAGGACAAACTTCCTTAACATAATCAAAATACTGACATAAATGCTTGATTTTCACCTTTACTCCTCGTGCCTTTATAGCCTTTCCTAGTCCTTCAACGAACGTCTTATCTTGGCTCAATGAATGCTTGACCCATAATCGCCGTTCACTTACCCGAGGGGTGCAGACGCAGCAGGTTCCCACGTCGTTCCCTCTTTTCTTTTCCTTTTTGCCGGCCACTCGAACGGCGTCCTTCACTGGATCCCCCGTGCTCGAGCCCCACGTTGGGCGCCACTTGACCCGGCCCGCAGGTCGATCAACGAGGACCCTAGAGGGGGAGTGAGGATGAGGTGGGACAAGAGACACGAGAAATGGAGACAAGACAGGATTCTGATCAAGTCTCGTTTATTCAGGGGGAGTTCACATTATATATAGGGGGAAAACACGTGAAACAGCCAATGAGCATCCCACCTGAAGCCAACCCCAGCAAATACCCCAGGTGGAACAAATAAGCAAAGAATGGAGCAAACAATTATCTAGAGGAATGCAGGCACTGCACGCGGAGAGGCATGGCACGCGGAGAGGCATGGCACGCGGAGAGGCATGGCACGCGGAGAGGCATGGCACGCGGAGAGGCATGGCACGCGGAGAGGCACCGCCCTGGGGCCGGAGACAGCAGAGCAGACTTTAACAAGATGGATGCCATGCAAACGGTCTCCCACACTAGGTGATGGTGCTATTTATTGACATTGCAAAAGTAAGGACAAAATGGCTCTGTGGAGTGGGTGGGTGGGGGGAAGTCAAGATTGAGTTTTAGAAATTGGAATACCTATGAGACCTCCAGGCGGAGGGGTCAAGTAGATGTTGATGGTCAGTGTGAACTCAGAGTAGAGGTCTGGGCTGAAGAGAAATTTAGGAGTCCCCAGCAGTCGATGGCATTGAAACCGTGTCCTGAGCGAGAGTGGAGGAAGTCCTGAGTGTGTGGGAAAGGAGGCGCCAGCTGGCGGGTGGACATGCAGGGAGCACCCACGGAGCAGGAGCTGCGGGAGGGAGATGCTTCGGGGAAGGGAGGACTAGTCGGTGTGCCACCTGCGGCTAAAGAGAGAACGTGTCCTCTGCCCACTGGATTTGGCAGCGGGAGGTGGTTGGTGACTTTGACGGCATTTTCCAAGAGGTGGGGATAGAAGCCAAGCTGAAGTGGGTTTAGAAGTAAGTGTGGGGCGAGATCAGGAGACAGGATGTTTGCGCGGATTCGCTGAATAGAAGGTGGAGACACAGAAGCTGAGTGAGGGGGAGAGAGCTGGGCTCACAGGAGTAGGGTTTGGGTTTCTGGTTTTGTTTTTATAATGAGAAGTACTACTGCATAGTGTGCATCAGAAGGAGTGCTGAGAAAGGGGGATTCATGATTGATGTGGGGAGAGAAGGAAGGCAGGAGGGGTGGGGATTTAAAATCTAGGCCCGCTTTTTCAAAAGCCTGCCATTCCAGTCTTAAAGATGAGATTAATTCAAAATAGGCCATGTGCTAAGTACGAGTTGTGTATGTTCTAATCATTCAGAGGAGCCCGCCGTGGAGGCCAGGCTGTTGATAGGATTTTCAGGAGGAGAAGGTGGACACACGCACGTGGGGCCTTGAAGGCTGAGCAGAGGTCAGAGAAAGGACGGTGCACTGATGACCATGTGGGAGCCAGCGGAGCAGACGGGCTTGGGGGCTTGGGGGCGGACGGCGCCCGTCGGAGGAGAGCCTTCTCACAGAATGTGTAGTGGGAGGTGTGGGCCCTGTCAACCAGGACCAGGGCTCTTGAAGGCCAGGCAAGGAGATGAGATGACCCCGCAGGAGCTGCTGTGCTCTTGAGCGAGCAGCGGGATGCTGGAAACCACCTGGGGCAGGGTGACAGCCACACTGGGCGGCTGGACCGGGAGGGGGCTGTGCTCACAGTCAGGGTGTGGTTCTGTAATCTGGGCTTGACCTTCGGGTCCTCGGGCGAGGGTGGCAGCAGAGGGCATGGAGAGGCAGTGACTGGTGTGAGGGGTATTTGGAGGGAAGAGCTGATAGGGTATTGTCAGTGTGGATATAAAGGACAAAGAAAACAGAAACAGAAGATGATTTCAGGGTTCCTAGGCCAAGTCTGATGATGTCAGGGATAGTTGAAACTTTTTGAGATTCAAGTAAACACAAATTGTGCAAAAGGGGCCATACATGGGATTTTGTAAAAGGGTTGAGCTGTCCGGGCTAGAGACAGTAATTTACGAGCTGAAGCACCTTTTCTCCACCAGTCCGCTTGGGTGCAGCTGCACTCGCGGAGTGGGGAGCTCTCCCCTTCCCTGAGGGGTGGGTGGGTGGGAGGGCGAGCAGCTCGGAGCTCAGGGCCCACAGCTCAGCACTGGGGAGTGACAGGGACCAGTGCCGGGGGTCTCCTCTCAGGGCATGAATCTATGTACACCATTTTATTATTCTAATGTGCATTTGCTGTGGAATCTGAGGAAATTAATTCTTTATTCAACTTCTCAGAACACTTAGTCTTGGCAGATTATTTTTCAATTTAAAAACCTGCCTAGGAAAATAAAAATCCAGCACTTTGTCTTCTTATTCTGTCCTATTTTAAATACTGTACGTGAGCCCTGACCAGTTTTGCTCAGTGGTTAGAGCGTCGGCCTGTGGTCCAGAGAGACCCGGGTTCGGTTCCCGCTAAGGGCATGTACCTCGGTTGCAGTGTGTCCCTGGCCCTAGTTGGGTTGTGCAGGTGGCAACTACTCGATGTGTCCCTTTCACGTCGATGTTTCTCTCTCTCTCTCTCTCCCTCCCACTCTATCTGAACAAAATATCAAAAAATGTCTTTGGGTGAGGATAAAAAGAATAAAAAAATAATTAAAAATAAATAAATAATAAGTACATACTGTACATGAAATTGGAGAACAGAGAATTTGAGTTTTACTTTGTAGGGTGTAAGACCTGAGTCCTTAATGCCGTTTGTCTTGGGATTTTGCCTCCCTCTCTTCCTCAAGAGCCTCTTAGTCCTCTCCACGGGCCACCTGCTCCCGTAGAGGTTACTGCTGTTAGTCTGAAGGGGCCTTCAGGGTGGGAGAAGGGCCTCCCAGGTTGGGGACCGCTCCCTCCGAGTCCCAGCACAGACTGTTCCCTGCAGAGCGCGGCCACGAGTCCATGCAGCAGTCAGGACAGGTGCGGGCCCTGCCTGCGGAAGGAGGGGCTGTTACAGCACCCGAGGAGGGGAAGGCCCAGGTTCCGGCTCTCGCCCTTGAGCTGTGCGTTCCCAAGGACCCTCTTCCGGAGTCACTGTTGGAAATCCACTTTCCACTGGAGAGCACGCAGGGTTATCAGATAGTCATTTCTGAAGCCTTCCGACAGCCCAGCTCTGACTTTGAAAAACACTTGAGAATAAAACTGCTGAGTAAATCTCCATTTTAACAGTGCTGTTTTTCTTATTTGGCACAAAAGGAATGAGATTTCCCCAGCTGCTATATCCAGAATTTCTCCTCTCTCATGCGTGTGCACAAGTGCACACAAATACACACACTTTAGATGCTATAGAGCCAGAATTCTCTTAAGCAGACGGAAGTACCAGCCATGTTCTGCAGACCAGCGTACCTCTCTAACGTTAGGTCGCTATCACTAACAGCAAGTAGTTAGATATTGCTTGCCTAGACACCCTCTTGCCTTTAGAAGACCATGTTGCCTCAGAGAATTTATACAGAGTTGTCTTTTCTCTCTCCTTTCAGAGGGCCAGTTGAGAGTGGACGCCAATGTATCTGTGCATCAGCCTGGGGAGCCTTTGGGTGTTCGAACTGAAGTGAAGAATCTCAACAGCGCCAGGTTCTTGGCCAAAGCAATAGGTGACTGTCAGCCATTACTCCTAATGTACCTCTTGGTGTCAGCTATCTGTTGCTGCATAACAAGCCACCCCAGCCTCAGCGGCTTGTACGGGAACCACTGCAGTTTCCACAGTTCTGTGCACCGGGTGGTTTTTCTCCTGGTCCTGCCTCAGCTCCTGCAGCCCAGCTGAAACCAAGGGTCTGCGACGACCTCACTCACACGGTGGGGCCTTGGTGCTGGATGTCTGCCAGACTTCTCTACCACATGGTCGTTCTTCCTTTGCTTGCCTAGCTTGGGCCGCCTTGTGTGGCATTGGGCGATTCCGGGAGCAGAACTCTTCACAGGCAGCAATTCTAGATCTGGGGTCCCTAGGCCTAGAGTGGCCCCAGCCCTTCGTCTGCCAAGTTTGTAAACTGCACTGTATCACTGGATCTCTCTGAACCCAAGTTTTCTAACAAAAGGAGGGGGCATCATTTAAGCACCATTATTATTATTAAGCGCCAGAATTATCCTATGATGGCAGCAAGAGGAAAATGAAGTGTACAGTAGTCCCCTCTTATCAACAAGATTATTCCAAGATCCCCGTGGATGCCTGCGGCTGTGGATACTACCAAACCCTACAGATTCGGTTTTTATTTTTATATGTACCTATGATCAAGTTTAATTTATAAATTAGACACAGTGAGAGATGAACAATAGCAATAAAATAGAACAATCATAACAATACACTCTGATAAAAGTTAGGTGGATGTGGTGTCTGTCTGTCTCTCTCAGAATATCTCACAGTTCTGTGTTCAGCCTTGATCGTGATGACGAGATGATACCACGCCTAGGTGCCGAGATGCAGGGAGGTGGGTAGTGTAGGCATTGTGACGCAGCGTTAGGCTACAGCGTTGACCTTCTGACGACACATCAGAGGGAGGACCCTCTGCTTTGGGTGGCCCTGGGTCATCGAGCCGTGATGTCCATGGTTGGATGTCAGGCGCTCACATTGTCTGCGGCTGGGGAAATGGAATCTTCCCAGACTGGTTGGATGCAGGTATCTGAGCCATAGAGAGTGAGACCGTGGATAAGGAGGGAGCACTGTACAAGGGAAGAATATTAGAAATGATTCTGTTGACTATTTTTTGCATTAAAGATTTAAACTTTTTCAATATTGCTTGGCTGGATGAAAGGAATCAAAAAAGATGACACTAAATTATCGTGTTTTACTTAGACTATGAAATTCAGAGGCAAATCAAAGAACTTGAGAACGGAGGTGAAATTCTGAATGAAACGCGCTCCTTTGATTACAAGCTGGGGTGAGTCTGCATTGGCAAGTGTCCTGGGCACAGCTGGGTGGGGCTCAGCCTGGGTGCGCACGGATCAGCCCCCAGGCTGCAGGAGGTGCTTAGCTTCTCCACACTTGCGTTTCCTCACCAGGGAGGTGGGGAAGTACTGTATCCTGCAGGGTTCTGACCACCCCAGGGCTGGCAAAGGATGAACCGACCAGGCTGGCCACAGGGCGCTTGGCCTCTGGTCCTGGCCCTTCTCATGCTTCCATATAACCTGCTCTGCAGCAAGGACTTGCGTTTCCTCCACCTCTGTGCGAGGAAAGCTCTCCCCTTCCAGCTCCCGACAGAAGGAAGTTCAGAGCTGGCGCTAGAGGTGCGTCTTTGTGTTTAGACAGCATTGACTTTAATTTTCTAACTCAGAAATTTTGAGGATTTTATACTTTAAGCAAAAGATTAAACAAAGCTTAAAAGCCTAGACTTAGAGCTGGTTAAGCTAGAAGCATTGAAGCAATATTTTTCTAATTAGCATTCTAAACATTTTTCTTTTTTAATATTATTTTTTAATGTAGTCGTAAAGTGTCTCCCAAGGCTGAGGCACTGGAATTTGCCTGTGCCCCTTATTGGCTGGGACCCCCGCAGGCGTGCCAGCCCTGCTGCCGGCAGTGTCTGTTTAACGCTTTCGTGTGGCTGTCGTAGGTGCACCGTGCCGATGCGAGACAAGGAAGGAAAACAGGACTACAGGTGAGTACTCCTCTGGTCAAAATAGCTTGTGTACCTGGGATTGGGGCACATTTCACACCCGCTCATAGTTTTTAGGAACCACTTTTTGTTGTTTTGTTGCATGATGGAAAATCTAGACTTCCTATGTTAGTGTGCACAGAGAAAGAATAAATTCTTAATTTGGTAGCCTTGGAGTGCCTTGTTAGACGGGGTTCAGCTGTTAGAAGATGCCTGTTCACTCACCTCTGTGTGGGAGTCGCTGTCATTGCACCAGGAGGATGGCAGTTGAGGCTGGGCCTAGCCTGTTCTTATTCTACACTCAGTAACGGTTCTGCAAGGCACTGAAGTTCCTTGAGAAGGGGGGAAAAAGTGATCTTTATGTTCCTGACATTTCCCTTCAAATCTCAGGTGATTCTGTTTGATTGGTAAATTAAATAAGTTCAACTTAATAGGACATTCAGAAATAAAGAAAATAATAAGGATAGGCTGAAGATAAATTGAACCTTTCATTTTTCCCCCATTACAATGAACAGATTGCGGAGGTTGCAGTTTTATGCATCCGGGTTATTGAGGTCAGCTCGCCTGTCCTTCGTGACTTGCAGGGGAGATGTAAGGTAGTGACTATTGTCAGTGGGGAGCAATTGTAGCACTGTGACGAGGGAAGGAAGATGCTCAAAACTCAAGTGAACCCCACCTCCAGGACTGCTCTCATGGCATCTGTCAAAGTCATCGAGATGGTTTTAACTACCGTGATCTTCTGGGTTCAGTCTGTTCTTTCCAAGAACTTCTGTCCTCCAGTGTGGCCCCTCTTCTGCTTCTGCTGCTTTCTCACCGAGTGTGCAGTGGACTTGTAGTTTAGCCAGTGGCTTCAACTCCTGGTTAATAGATGGGAGTCCCTGTTGCCTTCAGGAGTCAGACTGATTCATAGCACGGACTTGGCATCAAGGTGACGGTTGCTCCTACTTCTAATCTGTCACCTCGGAGCGACCGTTTGTTCTGCGTTACCCTGCATCTGCATGAGCCTGTGACAAGTGTAAGCAGAGGGAAAACGAGAGATGCTGGAATAAACAGGGAAGGCATCTTTGATTCATAAGATTATACGAAGTGGTGCAGCTTCTACATTTTTAAAAAATTTACTGATTCTTTTAGAGCGGTTTAGGTTTACAGCAGAATTGAGTGGGAACTACAGAGTTCTTGTTTGTTCCTTGGTATATACCAGACACATTCCCTTGCCCCCCACAGTTCCCTCTGATAACGTCCTGCATTCGTGTGTAGTGTGGCACATCTCTTACAGTGGGTTAACTGAAATTGACACCTTGTTATTAACTAAAACTCATAGTTTACATTGGGGTTCACTATGTTGACCATTCTGTGGGTTTGGACCAATGCGTGATGACATGTATCCACCATTACAGTGTCAGACATATAGTTTCACTGCCCTAAAACATCCCGTCTGGCCCTAGCCAGTTTGGCTCAGCGGTTAGAGCGTCAGCCCATGGACCAATGAGTCGTGGGTTCAATTCCCATCAGGGGTACATACCTCGGTTGCAATTTTTCCCCGGACCTGGTTGGGGTCGTGCAGGAGGCAGCCACTCGATGTGTCCCTTTCACGCTGATGTTTCTCTCTCTCTCTCTCTCTCTCTCTCTCTTCCTCTCTCTACCTCCCACTCTGTCTGAACAAAAATGGAAAAATTTCCTTAGGTGAGGATAAAACAGAACAAAAAATCCCATCTGTATTTATTCATCCCTCCCTCTGTCTCCTCCAGCTTCTACATTTTATTTAGGCAAAATTCATGCATTGCTTCTACTTCTCAAGAAAATGTTTTCTTATTCTTTGACTTTTCATTTATTACACAAATACTGTTAAAAATGGTGAAAATCTAGAAACGGGGAAGTCTTCTTTCTCTCTATTAAGTCAGTTGTTCTCGTTTGCTTGTATGTCTTCCTGAACATAGACTTTAGCCACAAGGGTACGTCACCGGGTGGGTGTCCCGTGCCGTGCCTCTTGCACTGGTCACTGGCTCATCAGCGTGGAGAGCGCAGGGCTGGTGTTTCCAGCAGTAGCTGACACGCGTGCAGAACCAGCTCCCAGGAAACGGGCCCACGTTGGTCTGTGAGGGTTGGGAAACATCTCCCAGTGGCATGGCCTCCGTACCCAGACTTCACACTGACGGTAGGGTTTCTTGTTAAACCAGATACTTCAGAGTCAGGCCCTTCTGCTTCCTGCCTAGGTTTATTCCCGAGCCCAACCTGCCTCCCCTGCTGCTCTACGACTCGGCCTCTCTGCCTGCTGGCGCAGACCCGCAGCAAGTGGTCAACATCGACCAGATCCGGGAGCAGCTCCCCGAGCTCCCCAGCGTGACGCGGGAGAAGCTCATTCAGCAGTATGGGATGCTGCCGGAACACAGCTTCACCCTACTGGTAGGTACTGACCAGGCTTAAATAAACCCAGCTCCGCAGCTGGGGCGACGCTGTCCAGGGGGCTCTGAGTGGAGCGGGCAGACCGCCTCGGTTGTCGCCAGAGGCTCCTGAGCAGACCGAGGCGATAACCTTCTCTCACTGCCCCGATGCCAAGTGCTCCTCACAAACCCGGAAGCAGAATCGTGTGTCTCGTTGTGTGTGTGTGGAAATGAGCGGCTGCTCACCGAAGCCGTGGAGGCTTCTTGAAGAGCGTCCAAATGTTATGGATGAGTGTCTTCCCCTGTGTCTGCAGGACAAAGGAGATCCATGTATAGGGTTTCTGGCAGTATCGGACCATGAAAGGGCCTGGCAGGAAGCTGGGTTCTCAGATGCCAGCCAGTTGTCTCACCAATTGTAGAGAAAACGTTTATTGCACAGAAAATGCTGGAGACAGACTGCAAGTCTCGGTCCGCTGAGGCCGGAGGGTGCATCTGGGGGCATCAGTGAGCCGACACCACTGAGGTCCACGCAGGGCTGCTCCCTTCCTTTTCAAGGCTGCTTGGGGCTTTGCCGTCGTCTTTGTCACGGCCGCGTGAGTGACACGGCACCCGTGTGCAGTGTTGGCGCGGCTTTGGCTCAGTTCTCCTGCTTGTCGTCGGGCAGGAGGTGGAGCATGTTGCTGCTGCACCTTCCAGAGACCAGGTGGATGTGACACTTATCTTTTGGAGCAGCAGAGTCCATGGGAACTCTGGATTTTTGCATTTAATTGCCCGCTAATAAATATCTGGGGATGCTAGGATACACATATTTCTATGTAAATTTATACAGTTCGGTAACAGCAACTCAGCCATTTCTGGTACCAGGTATGCAATTGAATGTTTGTTGAATGAATGATTTTTCTCTTTATTATCTGTAAGTCAGTTAATGTGACAAGTATGCAGAGAATCTGATGCGAAAACTCCATTTTTACTACCAGTGACGATTAGGCGTGGTCTGTTTTTGTTCGCACTTGAGGCAGAGTTGATTGCTGTCTCCGTAGGCTGCTGGTGTATCTCACTCCTACCTCTGGCACTCACGTCGCTTGTGTTAATTCTTCACTGGGGTGTCCTGGTCAGCACCTCGACGGCCAGGACGGTGCCCCTCTCTCTGCAGCTTGAATTCAGATCTTTGTGAATCCAGTAGTCAGCACCCATCCCGAGCGCCTTTCAGCCTGCAGTTTTCCCGGTCGATCGAACAAAACTGAGATCAGTCTCACACGTCCTCCCCACCATCTTGAGCACTTGAATTCCAGCCCACTGGAAATAAATTCCACAGTAAAAACTAGACGCTGAACTCTGGTCCTGCATTTTCTGACATATCGCCATGTTCCACAGAGAACCGGAGGACAGGGACCGGGGCTGCTCGGCCTACAGGCATCAGTTGCCTCTCTCCCCTTGGCGTGCCACCAGCGGGACAGAGGCCACCAGAGGAGGGAGGGAGTGAGGAACCCAGGTTACTTGGCCATTGTTTCTTTTGCCCAAGGCTGATTTCTAAGAAGAAGCCACTGAATAGAATGTTGGAAATTGTGTTTGTATGTCAGCTTTCTTCATGAGAAGTGACAGGACCTTTCTGCATCTCTCTCGGGAATGTGGCTGTTTCTGAGGCACTGTCTGAACATAGAGGGCACCTCTGTAGGATTGTCGGCCTCTGGGCACGTGCAGTACGTTCTCCAAGGGCAGGGGCATGTTCACGTTGGTGTGTGTGTCCCAGGCTCCCCTCGTGTGTCCTTCTCCGTGCCTGAACCCAGGGCGCCTTGAGTAAATGTTGGCTGAGGGGCAGCAAATACCAAGTTTGTTTTCATAGTGTTAGTTCCGTTTAGGGAAACCTACTTTCGATCTGTTCAGTTCAGCACTTTTATTAGCATTTCCTATGTAGCAGCTACTAAGACAGGGACAAAGTTTAAAACATAAACAGAGATGTTTTCTTTGCTTTCCGAGAGCTTATTTGCACACACACTACAGGTAACCGCGCCTGGGGCAGACTGCAGTCTAGTGTGTGCTGTGCGGGGACGGAGGAGGGCGAGCGCCTTCATTAGGGCGGAGGGAAAACCGCAAGAAGGAGGGGACTGTAGAACCATTTTTTGAAGGGACTCATTTTTTCATACCTTAAAAATATGCGTATTTTTATAGCTTAAAGTTAACATACGAGGTGGTTAGGTTGTGGTGGTGTTGTTTTTAAGGGCTATACTTGAAACCTCCAAGATGGAGAAGAACGTAACTCAAGAGGACTGGAAAGAGAATGATGCAGATGAATTGTGGTCCTGAAATCAGGCATCCTGAGCTCTTGATGACTGTGTAATCATTGGAAGCTGAGTTCCTCATAACGCACCCGAAACGATATGTTCGTGTTTCCTCCTCCTCCACAGAAACACAACAGATTGCTGAGAAGGGCAGATGCGCAAGTCTAATGAACCATCTTTCCATTTAAAGAGTGCCCAGGAGTATTCGGTAGATAAATAGCAGTGGTGGAGGTGCGCTCTGCAGACTTCGGCTCCCTGCTCTGTGTCTTCGCATTGCTTATTAAGTTAAGCATTAAGCACATACCCACCCCCACACACCTTGCCTTACCCACAAATAATAGCTTTAGAATTTAACTCCAGTCTTTAATTTATCTTGTCATTTTATTACACCATAGGCACTGAATTATTTATTGTTTACTTATCCTTGATATTTATGGAACCTCCAGTATTGTATCTCATAGTAGGTGCTTGGTGAATCTTTGTTCCGTGAGTAGAGGGCGGAGGAGCACAGGCATGGGATCCTGTGGCAGCACCATGAAGGTCCCGGGAGAGTCGTGTTCCACATAAAGGCATCCCTGTCTCCAAAGTCAGGGACAACCAGCAAATCGTGACATGACCCCTGTGTCACTGGACTCGGTGAGGAGACCTGGATGCCACGCCATCCACGTCACCTCCTGGGGCCAGGGGCAGGCCACTTGGTCTCTCTGACACGTTTTCTGACCTGGTTTCCTTAGGAGATAAATCAAATCTACATTCTGACTTTCACCCTGAAAGCCTCCTGATTTCCCTCCCAACAGAAACCTGTCTTACAGTTTTTTCCTCCAGCTGTCTAAAAAGCGTCTTCTCCACCAGAAGCTTCACCCTAGTTAGCCAACCTTGCTTCCCTAGGTTACGTCAAATTGCCTTGATATCTGACCTCGTGTGTGAGGACTGAGGAACAGAAATGTGGGAGCTGAGATTCCGGTGTTAGAAAATGGAGGAATTCTGATAGTATAGCAAGCCCTTCCTGAGTCAGTATGTCCAGGCGTAATTCCTAGGATCATCAAGATTCTGTGCATGTGCGTTTTCCGTGGCAAACAGTCTTCTCAGAGTGGTGTCTTCGGGGGCATCTCTTCGCGAGCTCTCACCTGACTCAGCGATGCAGACGAACCGCAGGCCTTGCCTGAGCAGCACTGGGGCCGTGCACTCAGCCCACGCTGCAGGCCACGGGCCACTTGTTAACCTGCCCTACCACCCGCGTAGGTGCGCAGAGTGGCTCTACCCGTCTTACAGGCGAGGAGACATAACCCCTGTGGTTCAGTATACGGCGTTAAGTAACTTCCCCAAGCCTTTGGCGCGCCAGCGTCAGACCGGGCTGACTTCAGGGCCCAGGCTCTTTGTTTCTAAGCTCGACCACCTGCCTGCACATACGATGTGCCACATGCCGAGTAGAGATAAGTTTCCAGTTCTTTACTGTTTTGGATCGCTTAATAGAGAAAATAGACATTTTCCTCGTGTTAACATGGATGCTGTGTGGTCCAGCAGTGCTTGATGGGCACGGTCACAGCACACCAGGTCTTTAAAACTGCGACCACCCCTCTCCATCTTCAAGGTGCCCACTGCCTTAGACATGAACAGAAACTGCTTCTACTACGTTGAGTGAAAATCAGTCCACTCCAAGGAGAAGCAGAAGGTATGTCCAGCTTCCAAGTAGACAACTTCAGTAGAAAAGAAGAGCAAGCTCTTGTGCAGTTTTGTCTGTTTGTTGAACTTTCTGGAACATGGCTCCTGACTGAATCGTAGAGAAGGGTCTCCACATAGGACCAAGTGCGTGGGTTTGTGGATTTTGTGGACGACTTTTCCTGGAGCCTCATGCCATGCAGCTCGGCATGTGGAGGGCGACATGAGCTCGCAGGGTGACTGGCTGTGTATGAAGTCAGTGGACAGATTTCCGACTCCTCTGTTACGGGAGTTTTCAGGGGAGGGTGGTGAAGCATCCCCAGCTTAGTGCTGTACTCGCCACATATCCTTGCTCTTGTCAAATGTGAGAGCTTTGATCTGTCCCACGTTGCTTTTACCTCTTGGGGAGTCCTCCAGGACAGTGGGTTAAAACACAGACTGAGAGGCTGACACTCGATTCCAGGTCTCACTTCTGACAGGAGCTGGGAGGGCCCGGCAGAGGTAACTGGAGCTGAAAGAGATGGTGGACACAGCAGAATCCTCGCTGAATCTGAAGTCTAAAGACAGCCAGGCAGACTCCCAAGAAAAGCCGCCAGAGCGAAGAGCACTGCTCACGCGTGGAGAGCCAGGCAAGGCAGCATGTCCAGGAGGCCAGCATGGCCCAGCGAGGCCAGGGCAACGCGGCCGGGCCTCCCAGAGGGGCCCCTGTGCTGCAGTCTGTCTGCCTGTCTCCCCCTGCAGCCTCGAGGGGCGTGGTCGTGTCTGAACAACCTCGTTTGCCCCAGCTGGTCATTCCCATTTCTCTCATCCTTTGTTCCTGACATCATAGGAAAGGTTAAGGTGTCTCCAAGGGACAAAGAAATAGAAAAGATATCATGACTATGGTTGATTGTTCAATGGATTGTTTTCCAAGAGTTTTGCTTTGAGTCTCTAGTAAGCTTGAAATGACCTGGTTTTCTTCCTGGATAAATTGCCTATAAAATAATTTCCCTTGGTAAGTGTCTGTATATCCCATAGGCAGTACTACTTTAAAGCTAGTAGTTTGAAAAAGCATCCAAACCGTATTGACTGGTTCTAGACGGCC